CTCCGACGCGAACTCCGTCGCGAACTCTGCCACGGCCACCTTGTCCGCGTGGAAGATGTCCTTCTTGCTCCGGGCGTACTCGTAGGCTATGTCGTGGAGCTTCGCGATTCGGTCCACGGAGTCCACAGGCTCACCCGCCTCTAGTGGGTTCCCTGGACCCAGGTAGCGACGCCCTGGCCAGTTCGGCATCCTGGCTCCTCTGAAGATTCCTTTAAGCCACTTGACCAAGTTCGACATCCACTAGATAGTATTGTGTTTTGTAAGGTCCTGAGGGGGAGGGCTGCCAAAAGAGATGCTTGATTGCGTTCTTTGTCGAATGTGTCGCCGAGGGTCGATTGGATGTCGCAGAGCGCCGGAAAACGATGCGAAAGTGACTCTCAAGGTGTATTATGTTATTCAAACGAGCAAAATGACGTCAAATTAACAGATCAGGCTGTATTGCGGTGATGGGCGAACCAGATATTTACCAATTAAACTAAGCTCTTTTACGATTTTTTTTTTTTTAAAAATGTAACCCTCAGTCTTTTTAGACGATTCTAATTCAGCTAAATTGCGAGTAAACTCTTGATAAGGTCGATTGAGATAAGTTACCGATTAGACAGAATAGTCTAGAAAAACTGATTCGTTACTGAACCAGGCAGTTGTTTAATTGACGGTGTGATCAAGGAGCCTTGAGTGCTTCACTTCAATGCTGAGGCAAAGTTTGTAAACATTTTTGTGGCTGCGGTTAAAATTTCGAAAACAAACACATGAATAAATCGGCAGGACCGCACGAACGTAGAGAAGGTATATCAGAAATTGAGCGGTGCTTCTACGAAGTTTGTTGACAATTCTACAGCTGCAGTCTCAATTTGAATTGCTGTTTCAATTTTTTCTTCTTTTTTTGGATCGGGCGTTTTTCCGGAACGAGGTCGAGGTACTTCGTCTTATCAGTTGCGACGTGATACGTGCAGTTTTCCCAACAAAACGGTGAAGCTTTCGCGATAAAACTCCACATACAATTAAAGCGCAAGTATTGCTGCTTTTTACGCTCTTATCTCTCGATTTCCGAGGCGGGAACCACGAGATAACAAAGTTATTGGATAATAGAACAGTTCAAAATATTATAAAACAAGAATGACCATGAGCCCCAGCGATAATTTCGCATACAATTGTGTGACTCAACATTTTCCACTTTTTTCTTGCATACGATATGTAACTACGAACCACAGTCTCCGATGCAACTTAATTATAATTGATTTTACCGAATGATCTACCAAACTACTTCTAGTTTGTTTTTCAAGCGCCTTCTTTAAACCACGCACAAAACTTGAAAAGGCTTCTTACAAATTGACAATCAATGATTTCACAGTGCCATTCGATGAAGTGCCGCGAATGACTGATGAGAGCATTACACTTCAGGCAGGGTTGATGCCCGAGGAATCTGTCCTGTCGTCCTGGTTACGCGGTAACCTAACGCGCGGTTTTATCACTCACTCAACTATAACACGATTTTTTCTTCTCTCGTTCGTTCTTCAGGGATAGAAAAACACACACAACGGCCTTGATCGTAGACGCGTAATTTTCTCGGACCAATTTTCAAACCGCTCTCACAGGGAGAAAAAAAACACATCGACTAAATATTCCGGAGAAATAGCACAAATTACCGCTAAAACACAATCAAATTTCGGCGAAAACGCAATCATCTGCACTGAACTCTAGAACAACATCAACGTGACTAAAAATGAATATTTTTTAGAAAGCTTGCGAAGAATCGACGTGATAGGGGGTTCGCGGAGCGTGAATGACGCATGGGTAAGCGATGATTCAAGCGACGGCGAGCAACTGGTGCAGTTGGCGCTGAAGCCTTCGCTGAAACGAAACGAACTGAAACTGGCCTTGTTCGAGGTCGCTCACCAGCTTCGGAAGCATCAACCTTTACGGCGACTTCGTGATTTTCGCTAGCCGTAAGCGGAGAAGATCGTAATTCGATTTTTTGCATGAGCTATCGATAGTGTGGAGATAAATACGCAACAGGGCTCATCTCAATCCACGATCAACAGATTTCACCGGGTCAGCGATGACATGAGTCGCGTAGCGTTGCGACCGCTGTGGGATTCCCCTGCATTATGATCGGGTTATTCACTTATTCGGTCTCGGTCCTGAAGCAGTGCTTTCCTGTGACGTCATATATTCCTAAGATGCCCGTAACAGTATAGATGAGTAGATTTCGTTCTTTCCGTTTTACGTCATTAATGGGGCGGGATAAAATCAAAAGCTAGGTCTATGCTGCCGTGCTAAGGAAGAACGCCGTATGAACATTCGAGGGTTGCCAAATTTCTCTTGAAAAAACATGTATTTTTGACGACATTCATGCATATTTTTCCTTGAACTTTTCAGATATTTTAGATTAAATTTGTCACAAAATGTTCTGAACACTTTGGCAAAAAATATTCACAATTTTATCAATAAATTCGATTTTTAGTGAAAGAAATCTGGCAGCGTCTAAAAGCTCATACGGCGTTTTTCCTTGGCATGACAATCAGGCCCGCCACATCCCATCTCGGGCCCTGGTACCAGTTTTAAGGACCCGGCCCCATGCACGGAGGGGGGGGGGTCCGAGGGGCATCCCCCGAGAAATTTTAGAATTTTTACGACTAATTGGACGCATTTTGAGGCTTCCATAAAGAATTTTTCCATCAATTTCTGCGGAATGATTCTGTTTCTTTTATACTTTCAGCAGAAAATACTTGCGAATTGTTGCATTCAGAACATCTGGATTTTTTTTTTTTTTTTTGGGGGGGGGGCATATGATACTATTTTCAGTTCTAAGAGGGCCAGGCCCCCCTGGACTCCCCTTTCGTTTGTCGATGGCAAGGGAGTTGAGCCATGAGAAATTGAAGTCGAGGATACCTAGACTGGAGATCCTTTAGCATCTCACGACGGAAGAAAATGAAACGCAGTTACTAAAAATATCCCTCTGTACTGAAAATCTTGAAAATAGATAGAAATTTTCCAAGAGGTATACTTCTTTGAAAATTTAAGAAGAATGCTACAGTGCCCCAGCGTGTTTCTGAAAATCTATTCACCTTTTGCGAAATGTTTAGGGTAAATTTTTCACTTTTTCTTACGAAACAAGGGTTGCATGTGAATTGATAGTGGTTTTTCACGGGTAACACGGGCCCCCTTCGGGGCCCGGGCCCCGGTGCCAGGGATCCAGTATCCCCCCCCCCTTGTGGTGGGCCTGATGACAGTATGAGTAGAAATAACTGCGCAAGCGGTGTGAACGTGGACTTTTAATGGCTACAGCCCCCTTTTTTCCAGTTGAAGGACCAAGTAGGTGAAGTTTTCAAAATCCCTAGGAGTTGAAGCATCGATTTTTAAATTTTAGCTCTCCCAATTTTAGATTTCATATGTCACTTATGAGTGACTGACCGAATACTGGACTGACCGCAAGAGAACAAATGTGGGAAGATGATTTCGGTCAAGTCAAGTCAAAAAGGCGAGTTCCACGGAAATCGCTATGCGGTATTTAATAGGTTATCAAGAATTGTGGTTCATCTCAAACTTAACAGAGATCATGAGGTTGTATTTTAATACGTCAATTTGTAATTCTCTCAAATGGCGGACTGTATCATTGGATTTCTTCTACCTTGAGTAAAGTTTTAAATTAAATTAATGCGCGTCGAATTTTCGGGACGACCCTGCTCGTATCTCAGTGAAAGATTATAATTACCTACCCTCAAAAATGTAAAAGGTACAAAGCAAATTTTCCCACCATCTTGCTGCTGATCTAGTTTAAAAGTTGATCCGATTAGCATGCTTATCATTTAAATGTTTCACTTCTTTACGGCTTATCTTCACACAGTAATCCACTGTGAGATAGCCAGGTTCAGATTGATTACAATTGATTGGTTAAGTACAATTACTTTACTCGTCCATTTCTTTTATTGATCTTCTAATGGCTTTGATATTGATTGGTTCTTTTAGAAACCATCCGATCCTTCATTAAATCATAGAAAAGAGAAGAACAATGATTGAATTTTCACAGCTGTCACGAGGTATGACGAAGAGACGGGCTGACCCAATAAAACCCCTGAATCTTTAAGCGATAACTATTCAGCCTCTGCCGTCGAGGGGTTGCATAATCAAATTGTTGAAGGCGATTTCTAGACGTGCGATAGAGTTGGCCTCCGCGTATTCTGCATTCTTAGCGCCAGTTTTGCTTAATACCTCTGGGTATTTTTTTTATCGAAAATTGTTTGCAGAGTGCTTCGAAATACGCTTGTATCGATCACGAGTTATCGACTAAGTAGGTATTTTTTGAGGTTTTTTGGACGAAAGTCTCTTTTCCTATGGACGATCACACAATAATCTCATACGTTATCAGTCTTCCTTTCTAACACCATGCGTCGGCCGTACCTTATTAGCCATTTGAAATCATACATTTTCCGAAGCATTAAGTTTTTCGGTTACCTACGCACAAAGCCGAGTGATGGGAATAGAAACAGTATGTTTTAGATACCTCACACCAACAAGCTAAGAAATGTACTCGGATTAAGCAAAAGTTGAGCTTGGAGAAGGGCGCTCTTTTTCAAAGAATGAAGATTGATGAGCAACTGGTGGAGCATACAATTTTCCAAATGAGAGCTGCTAATAGTTGGTATGAGCACTTTTCCAGGCAATTTTTTTCAAATTAGGTTCGGTTTATTGATCCAGATACTCAACACGTTCGTAATCAGTCATCATGAGGCGATACCGAGGGCTGATTTTCGAAAGTAACTCACATATAGGCAAGATAACAGTGCAGGGTCTTTTAAATATATATTATCTGTGGTTAGCAGTGGCGAGACATGAATGATCGATTCTCGAAATTTCCCCATTTGAAGCTATGGTAAAGGATCGATTATTAAGGTGTACGTCGCGAACACCTTGTTTATCGATCCTTTTCCATATGTTTAAATGGTAGATCAATCGATACATCGCAAAGCAACTCGAACTTGGGTGGGGGTGGTATTTACCTGGCATCCTGACCACTTTCACAAAAGATGGCCATACGTTCACCGGTGACATGTTCGTAGCGGGGGTCCGTGGTAAGGTTAACTCCGAATGGGAGACGCACCATCTTTGGCTTGTGGTCCATCACCTCCTCAGCGCGCCTTTTCTCCACCACACAGTTCATTCGTGACCGCTGGTTCTTCTCCAACAGAGACTGAGCCATAGAAATAAATAAAAAAGGATATGTAAAAAAATGAACAAATTCGGAACCGACGGGAAACATGGTCAGATGAAAATTGTTTGGGTTAGGTTAAAAAAGTATACAAGAGGGAGGAGGGAGGGAGGGAGGGAGGGAGGGAGGGAGGGAGGGAGAGAGGGAGAGAAATAAAATTGTCGTTTCCCTGTTCACGAAAGAACGTAACTGAACTCCAAAGTTTCAAATTTGGCTTAGACAACTAAATTTTTTTTTATGTAATACGACTGTGCAGATTCCGTCCAAAGTTGTACTGATTTTTGTGTGTAATTAGAATACAAATCAATAAAATTTTAAGTCAGAAGCGCCTGACAGTTTTTTTTTTTTTAGTAAAAACAGTTTGGGAGAGGAAGTTTTGCAACACTGAAATGTAGTTACTTTCTTTCGTTTAGGAAACAACAAAAACAGTCCATGTATTTTTGAGGTTGATGTTATTACTTATTTATTGAGACCTCGGAGGGCTTAGCACTTTCTTCGGCTATAGTTGAGAATTTTTGCGTGTCTTTTTTCAATTAATTAAATCGCAAAAGATAAGTTTCAGTCATGAAAACTGAAGGCTGATTACCTATATACTCAATTTCTACATTGAAAATGCCGTCCTTTCTGTCCAAATGCAGATATTAATAGAAATATGGAGCAAAAATCACCATAACATGTCAGATTATTGTAACTACTGATGTAATTGAAACACAAAACTGAGAGAGTAACATGAGAGCAAAAATAACTTATATTACAATACCTCTGTATACTAAAATACATAATTTTTGTGGCTGTCTCACAATCGATTTCGGATTATGGAGGTAGCCTGAAAGAAGTCTTATAGAGGCGAATATTTTCGAAGCCAAATTGAAGAATTTCATTAACAACAAAATATTCGATTATTATGGAGTTAAAAAAATTACACTGCCTCTCCCGCAAAAAAAAAAAAAAAAAAAAAAAATTTAAAAAAAAATAACTGGTAATTAGGGCGTTGTGGATTATGTGGATCATGAGAAAAGGAGTTATAACTCTCAGATAATTGCTGTCAGCGCAGTGTGGCAACGTCGCGCCCTCGCCGCGACTCACGCAAGGCATCAAATGGAAAGGAGAGAATGAAGCGCCTGCAATTGAGGTGAACGCAATCCTAATGACATATACTGTTAACACTCTTTTTAATCGAGCTTGCAATGTTTCTGTCCCGGCAGTTGATCCCGAAGTAATGGCTGAGTGATCATATTGGTGGAGAGGAAATTGCTCAGCAGCCATAAACAGTCATCAGCCGCAGCTCTTAATTTTTATGAGGCGGCGTTCCTGTTTAAAAGTTTTTTTCCCCATGCTCCTGTACCGTTCACCCATACATTAAGTTGATCCTTAGCGCGAAGTTTCCCGTTGGTAATTTTGATCTACATAGCTAGCTGTTTTCTCATAATTCAAAGGAGATAAACAAGTAATACTTGCGTCCATAGTCAAATTACGAGAAAAGCTTTGAATCATTGACTATTTAAAACTTTTTTCGGACAAAAATGGAAGTTCAATACTACTCTTATAGTGCATTACAACCTCAAAATCTTTAACCAGCCGCTAATTGTGGTGACTATCTTTTTTTCCGTGTAGAGCAAAATAAGGAACGTCTGAAGGGCTTGAAGGACAAGGCGCTTAAGTGCAGTTTTTACTATTTCGAGAAATACGTGTTTGAAGTCTCGAAATTACATGGATCCTTACGGAAGAAAGAAAGTTCGAACTGACTTTTTGATGCTTAAAAACCGGAATACGGGAGAACATTTTTCACAAAATATTCACTAAGATTAGTCTCTCTTGAAATCATTAATATCTCAATTTTTTAAAAAACTGCAATTATGCGCCTTGTCCTTCCAGTCCGTCATAGGCTGATTATGATTGAATCTGTCCACGTGTAAGATGTTAATGATATGAATGAACGTATTTATGCGTTTTAACGTTTAGAAAGAACTATGTGCATAGGATTTTTGTGAGACATAGTTCCTTTTAGCACAAATAAGTCCAAATGAGATTCCTTACCGCGGCGAGATCATCGAAATCGAGCTGGAGCGGGAGCTTGATCTGAATGGGGAGACCGGCGTCGGCTTGTTGCTGTTGTCCCTGATTCTGCTGTTGTTGCTGTTGCTGCTGCTGTTGTTGTTGGGGGAAATAGGACTGTTGCTGTTGCTGCTGCGTCTGCGCCATTGAGGGAGGTTGTGACACCTTCTGCGCGGGCTCCTGAATGCTGTTGCTGTTCACGGAGGACTCCTGTTTTGAGTCCATGCTCTCCTCCGACTGAAGAGGGTCCACCAACGCCTGGTATGAAGGGTGGTCTCCATCGTCGTTCTGAAACATACATCCAAAATCATCAACCCCTTGATTGTCTACTTACAGGCCCATTTTTGAAACATCAAGGGCCGTGCTAAGGAAGAACGTCGTATGAACATTCGAGGGTTACCAAAGCTCCCTCGATAAAATGTTTATTTTTGAGGCAAGTTATGAATATTTTTCCTTGAAATTTTTAGGAACTTTAGGTGAAATTGTGAACAAAATTTTATGAAAAATTGGAGGAGAAATATTCATATGTTTACCAGGAAATTCGTGTTTTATCAAAGGATATTTGGCAACGCCTAACTTTACCTAACCTGCTATACACGGTCACAAGGTCTCAAACAGAAAAGTGTGGTTTGAGTCCTACTCCTGCCCCAAGAGTGGCATGAGTGGCAATGAGTAGCCTTGCGAAGTGGCAATACTTGAAAGTTGGCAACACTGATTTTTCTCCATTTAGATCCATTGGAAATATCGATTTCAGTTAAGGCAAGCTGTCTCGCCAAGAATCGATTATGTTACATACATTTACATGGAGGAAATACAGTAATGCCAACTTTGAAGAATCGCTACCGGCTTTGCCGGCTTTGCCGGCTTTGCCTGTAAAGCACCGATACTCCGAATAAACATGCTTTACACCACACTTTCCTCTCGGGGGATTAGTCCAGTTGCGGTGTGCAGTCATCGGGAGAACAGCGGCAATAAACAGATATTAGACGGAACGAAAGTTGACAGGAAAGTCAGCTGCAGCCGCGACTCTGCACAGCTAGCGGCTCTGCTGTCAGACGATCGAAGCAACTAAAAAATTACACTTGGAATCTCCGTAGTAAAATCATGCGATTATCGACACAGTTTGGCAACTGGACAGTTTATGCAAGTGTGCACACAACAATGATCATTGTGACTTCAGCTCTGTCCGCGCATGCGCATCGAGACACAAACGGCGAGCATGGTTGCCATACGATAAGGAATCAGCTTGCCTCGCATTTTTCGCTCGTGTTGGATTTAAGATACATTCATAAACCTCGGCAGTTTTATTTTAACTTCTGGGCGAAAAGCATAAATTTGAAATGAAATAGCAAAACTACGAAACTCGTGTTGGTACACGACACAAGTAGATGCGTTGAGAACCTAAAATACGTTATCTGTCCAAAATTAACGTTATCTGTCACTTACTCAGGCCTTGCGGTGGACAAGATTCCAAACTTTTTACCCGAAATCCTGAAAGTTACATCATTCAGGGATATCTACAGGTCTTAGTGCACCTCTATGACTTATGGACGATTTGATTATGAGACCTAAATTGTGTCCGTATTTTTACAATAAGTCAAAAGTACTATTTCTTTGCCCCCCACATTTTCAGGATCTTTTCTTAAAAGGACATTGCTGTATTTTTTTCGCGTTTTTCTTTTGTTTCAAACGATAACCATCCATGATTTACCTTCGTTTCCCTCTCTCTCCCACTATCTCTCAACGTCCTTCCCTCTTTTCCTCTTCCTCCAATTGCTTTTTCTTTCTTTTCTCCTCTGTCCCTTTTAAATGATGCATACCTTAACGCAGATTTTCAGAAAAATAGCATACCTCCCAGCGGAATCTCCCTTTCCAATTAAATTTTTGTTTTCGACAAAATCCCATCGTTCGGAGGGATAGGATCACAATAGCCTTTAAATACACTGTTTATTTTTTCCATAGCTTCCAAATTGTCTAAAAACTAATTTATTTAAGAAAATCTCTCACTCGGTGACTGAACGAGTCGATTGTTGCCACTTTTTGCTCACAACGCCACTCTCAGGCTCTCGCCCCTTCTTCCGCACTCTATCTCAGGTCACTAGAGTTAATTACGGAACAATAATTTTCCGTTCCAAATTCTCAGCGCTGAGAGCGCAATTAGTTGCCGCAATTACAGTCCAAGCGGTTAATTTAATATGAGAATAGTCGGGCCAAGTTGCGTGAAAACTCGCCCGAGATGAGACAGATAAAACCTCTTCGAGGGTGAGAGAGAAAATTCGATGATTAAGGTTGGACTGAGATTACATTATGTATCGGCATCTTCGGGCCGCTTTTTACATCCAAAAATTTTGGTATCAACGTCACAGCTTTTGCAGACTTCTCTCACTGAGCGTCGGTACCGTACTGGGAAAAACACGACTCAAAACTATTAGGTCAATGCGAGTAAATAGAGGGATAAATGGACGTATTTCTGATAAACGGAACTATGTGCATTATGACGTGAGTCCTGTTACGCATATGTTCTTATTTGTCTCGGGACTCATGTCATAATACACATAGTTCCATTCGGCAGAAACAGTCCAAATGGTTTTTCCGACCATGCAAAATATCCGAGCCCCTTAATTGGTCCTGTTTATTCTAAAAGGAATGATTCGCGAATGATTTAAATCGAAATGACCTATCTGCACAGAGTTTGCGATCCTCATTGTTCATTTTTGATCCCGTTTATTTGCACATAGTTCCTTCCAGCGTAAATACATCCAATTATCGCTCGATGATTTTGTTCTTCGGTCCAGTTGGCTCGGTCGGGTCGGCGCGGCGGTCGATCTGAATTAACTGGGATTGGACCGAATTAGGCGGGGAGTTATCCGTTTTTGCGCTCCACTTAGCTCTGTCACCGATCGGCCGACCGACGTTGAAACGACGGAGGAATAAGTGACGTAGTCGGAGAGATATGCGTGTCTCAGAGTTATCGGTAAGATGGCTCGAATTATTATTGGTGTAAATTCTTCGTCGCGGTACTAGTCGACGTGTCGACGTAGGAAGCGTACACGTACCATGTTGAGTATTCTGTCTTTAATTCAAGATAAATATGTTCAGATCAAGGATGATCACCATTTACGGATTTTTCTTCTTTTTATTCTACTTCAAATTGTGTGTCATACACTCACTCTTTTGGGACATTTTGTGGCGCACGAGTATACTTCACTACCGCCGTGATACTGAAGAGAACAGTGAGTGCATGCTGGGTCGAACCCTGAGACACATAAAAGTATGTGCTGACCGTGGCTCATACAGAAATGTACTTACTGCTCTTCGCTGTCACGGCAGTCTAGTTAGCTAATTCCCGTGGCATTAAGCTGAGCCATAATCAACGCAGTTGTAGGCGTTTTTATCATTCTTGAAAACTCTTGAACCCTATATTTTCCTTTTTCGTCAGAGTTCTCTCCGCCATTTTACTATGGGCCCGTTTTTCATGATTTTTGCGACTTTCGAAAGTTTATAGCTCCTAGGTAAGCTCGCTCTATTCAGATTTAGGAAATATGACCCAAGATTTTTAATTTTTCGGGATCAAGTTGTGAATCCTCCCATTTAAACAACGTAGGCGTTCATTTTTTCTCAAATTTCTGTCTCAAGATCAACCGGGCTTTTATGATTTTTGCAGATAATGATAGGTGAGTCCGCTTTCTTAGATCACCATTCACGAAAGCCCCCAGCACGGACCTCATAACGAAGACATTGCCCTTCAAAAAGCAAGGTATTATTGCCGTGATGGTGCGAACCATGGTTTCTCTCACTTTGATTTAAGCCTCCTAGCCTTTTTCTGCTAACTCTGATACTACTGCCACTTCCAAATAGGTAAAATTGCACATCCACAATTATGAAGGAGAACTTAATCCTTAATCTCTTTCCGTTGACCCGGAGACTTTAACGCCAGAGTAGAAACTTCAGATAAACACGCGACAAGTGATATTACTGTTTCGACTTATTAGTTTATTTCTCATCGAATTCATTACCTGGAGAATTCTAAGGGATCAATTACATGGTCACAAAACCGCGTTTTGCAGGTTTAAACCAATAGATCAGCAAAAGTTGATACGATGGCCCAAATGCCAAAAAACAATAAGACTCAACATTAACGGAGACATCATCCTTCAAAAAACACGACGCCCGATTTTCACCAGACTGGCTATATATTTTGCCTGAGTGTTCCGGTATATTTTGTGCGAGGTTGCATGAATTTTAACTGATTAAAGAAACGGCCAAGTTCCACAATCCTGACAACACCAGAGAGAAATATGTGCGCTTTTCCCAAACGGTCCTTTGTTCATTTGAGCTCTCAGTGTTTTCTGAGTTTCCCTCACTGACATATTAATATTTTCCTTGAGTTGGGCTTTGCTGAGTCCTGATCAGCGTAAGAGGAAAATGAGTTTGCTCTCAGTCAGAATGTCAGATAAGCGGTCAATTAAGGCGAACAACAATTAAGGTTCGAAAGAGTGAAAGTGAGTTTCATAACTTGCCATTTTTTCAACAGAGACACTGAGCACTGCGGCGCACACTGGACAGAGCCAATAGGAGAAATCGGACGAAATCTGGAAACTTTAAAAGCTTATATTTTCGAAATTATAAAACAAAAACTTTCAAAAATGGCTCTATTGGATTTTTCGTGAAATTTTCTACCAGAATCACCCCTTTAAATTGAATTTGTAAAAAAATAAACATCAAATTTTGGAATTTTAGCCAATAATTTCATGTCCGACCTCCTCTTTTGCCTCGTTCCACTGTGCGGCGTCGCGTCTCGGCGCGGTTAGCGCGGACAGAAACGATCTTGTCTCGATAATGTTTATAGATCCACGCGTCTAACATCATTGTTAATTTTAATAGAGGCACGAAAGCATCGCTGCTTGGACACTAATTAAATTAGTCATCTGATTATCATAGGCTGCTCCTTCCCAGCCTCCGCTGCAAATTGAGATAATTAGCTCAGAACCTCCGTTAATTTTTCATCTGCATAGGCGAAACTAAGAAGTGGTTGTCGAGTGGGGTGACGGAGTGATATCTCACCTAGAAGGGTTCAGGGGTGCAGAGAAACACCCGAACAATGGAGATCAAGGAACTCCCCTAGCTCCAAAGAGGGGTTCGGCGGGGAGGGGGGGAGTTATAGGCTTTACAATATGTTCTGGCAGTATGTCCCGCATCCCCGAGAAAATACTCAAGATTTCAGTCGTTTCAGCAATTGTGCGCTTTTCTTGCAGACAAATTGGTGGAAATACAATTTTATAGAGATC